CACCCCCCACATCTGTCTGGAGGCTAAGGGGAGAGGACAACAGGTTTCAAGGGGCCCATTTGGGAGTGCTGATCTCAGTCCACGCAGGACCGAGGGCTGACCCAGTGCGGGCGAGCACGCAGCGCCGATGGCAGGAGGCAGGCAGGCGGACAGACAGGCGGACATGCGTGGTGCCAGGACCGTGCGGCAGCCCCTGGCTCAACTCTAGGGCCCTAGACCCGCCTTAGCTCGTTTCCGCCCTCCACTTCCGGCCAGGGATTGGGGTACCGAGAATGTGCCAGGAGGGCGAGCAGGCCCGCCGTCCAAGCCCACACCGCCCGCGCCCAGATGTCTCGGCCTGCCTCCTACCTTCTGTGGTTTGCTCTGAACTGGCTGGGCCCTGGAGAAGAAGGAAAGCATGACAGCGGGCTGGGCCCGCGGGGATCCCCTCTGCCAGCGCCCACGCACCCATGCATGCCCACCTGTACCCATGCATGCCCACCCGCACCCATGCATGCCCACCCGCATACCTGCTGAGGCCCAGGCTGAGGCGCTCCCCGCAGGCCCGGATCTTATTCTGGGCTTCGATGTGTGTGAGGCTCCCTGCGTTTTCGCCATCGATGCTCAGCACCCAGTCACCTACGGCCACTCCGGCCTGCGCCGCTTTGCCTCCAGGAGTGAGCTATGGAGAGAGAAGCAGTGACTGAGGCCCTGGCTCCTGCTGACCCAAGCCAGGTTGATGGTGGTAACCCTGCCCCACCCAAAGCTGCCCCACTTCCAGAACCCAGAGAGCTCTTATTCAACAGAGTTCTAGGCAGCTCCTGGACACTAAAGCAACCCAGGTGGTGGCACTCACCCGAGCTTCACAATTTCCCCAGTCACACTGCTTATTTATTCACCACCACGACCCTCCCCCACAGTCCAGAAATTGCTATGATGTCCACAAACAGCCAGGCTCAGGCTAAAGCCCAAGTTTTTCAGGAGGACCATTGCCTTTTGAGGCTCCTGCTGGCTTCCTGCCCAGGCCGCTCCACCTACCAGATATGCCGTCTGACCCATGCAGGGGGCAGCTTCCTCCCTGAAACCACCCGGGGCTCTTACGGACCTCTTACCCCCCAGCACCCTGTGAGGGGCCATCTGCAGCGGTCTCCTAGGACCCTCTGAGCACCAGAACAGGCCCTGTTATCTTCCGGTTCCCTGTGAACACTGCCTGAATGGGGCCTAAGGTGACAGCCGGGGCTTCACAGGCCATACATGGGTGTCACGCCCAAGCCCTCAACTGCCAACTTTCTCCAACCCCAATCCTTCAGGCTATTGAGCTGGGAGTCCCTGGTTCCTGTGGCAATGAGAGGAGACAGTAGGCTGGGAGAAACGGCTGCCACCAGGATGAGCTGAGACCATCAAGAATGACTTCAAGGACGCTGTGAGCCTCAGTAGAGGAGAATGGGGTGTGCTGCCTAGCGGGTGAGTTTACTTATGATGGCTTTGAATGCCAGAAGGAACTAGGACTTGGCTTTGAGGGTAGAGGAGCCACTGGCAGTTTTAATGTCTGGGATGGGGTATCTCCCAGGCCCTGAGAGGGGTGACCCTGATAATCCCCTTCCAGGCCTCGAGGCCAGCCCCAGCAACACAGGCGGGGCAGCTTGACTGGGTCTGAGCCCAAGGGGCCACCCAGCCATCTGGCAAGAGGCCTGGTACTGCAGTAAGTAGGCTTTTGTGAGGCAGTGCTGGAAGACAATTTCACTGGGTGGGGGGGATCTGGGGGGTCCAGGCTGCCAGAGGCCCCAGGAGGCTCCTCAGGTGGGCCAGTGCACAGACTGAGCTGAGACAGGGAAAAGGGAGGCAAGAGGTTTCAGAGAGATGTCAGAGGGCAGGGCAGCCAGACACAGAGCCTGACAGCACCAGGAAAAGAAAGGCGAGCTGGGCTCAACATGATTTCTTGCTTGCATGGGTGGTCAGAAGGCTAAGAGAGCTCAGTGGCCCCTTCCTCACTCGCTAAATAAGAACAGTTGCTTCCGTTTATTGAGCACCAAGTATGCTACATATTGACACCGAATCTTCCAACAACCCTGTGGAGTAATCAGGGATTTTACCCATTTTACACTTGAAAATGTACACAGAGGCCGGGCGCGGTGGCTCACGCCTGTAATCCCAGCACTTTGGGAGGCCGAGGTGGGTGGATCACCAGGTCAGGAGATCAAGACCATCCTGGCTAATACGGTGAAACCCCGTCTCTACTAAAAATACAAAAAATCAGCCGGGCGTGGTGGTGGGCGCCTGTAGTCCCAGCTGCTCAGGAGGCTGAGGCAGGAGAATGGCGTGAATCCGGGAGGCAGAGCTTGCAGTGAGCTGAGATGGCGCCACTGCACTCCAGCCTGGTCGACGGAGCAAGACTCCGTCAAAAAAAGAAAAAAGAAAAAAAGAAAATATACACAGAGAGGTTAAACAACTTGCCTCAAGTCACCCAGCTAGTAAGAGGCAGGGCCAGGAAGTGTCCCTGACCCTAAGGCACTGTGGGCCACCTCTGCTGAGCATGGGGGCCCAACCGAGGGGCCAGCCCACTTGGAGACACCCTGAGCCCCTCCCTCACCTTTAGTTCAATCCAACAAAATCAACCCCTTATACGGTATGTGGGGAAGTGACACCCCAGAGGGGAAGTGACTTACTCAAGGTCATGGTGAGTCAGTAGAAGGGAAACCTGGCCCAGCCACTCCCTGCCCACAGGGCTGGCTCCTGGGAGGTGTGGGCTGAGCCCGAGATGGAGGTCTTGGGGTGCACAGGAGCAGCTAGCTGGCTCCTGGAGAGGGGGTAGGGGGCGGGGACGGCTTCCCTTCCCAGAGTGAGGAGGACAGAAAGCACAGAGGATGAGGAGTGTTCAGAGCATGGAGAGGGCGGCAGGAGAGCAGGAGACAGCACTGGGTGGGTGGCTGGAGAGAGGCAGGGAGGGGTTCAGGCCAGGAGCAGGGTAAGGCCAGAGGAACCAAGGAGGGAAAAAGCCAGGGGGCTGGACCCTGCATGAGGTGGGGGTGAGTCAGCCTGAGCAGCCCAACCCCCCAGTCCCAGACGTTACCTCATCTCCCAGGCCTGGGCCCACGGCCAGCCCTCACCCCTCCCACCTCCCTCCATCCTGGGGTCAGGGGAGGGGGAGGGGGTTGGCCTAACTCAGAAAAGCCCACCTCACCCACCCATGTGGGCCCAGGTCCAACTCCAGGGCTGGGATCAGCTAGTGGCCCCACCCACATGCCGGGGATGCTGACCAGGGAGCTGGAGCTGGGAGTGCCCCCAACAGGCCATATCTGAAAGTCATCTCCATCAGGGAAGAAACTGAGGTTCAGGATCCCCAGACGCATTGGGCCAGCACTTTCCCAAGGGGCAGGACGCCGGGTAGGTTTTCAGAGCTGTGTGAGGACTGTGTAGGAGGATGTGTGTGGTAGGGCGACCACTGCCCTCACTACCCTGCTGGCGGGGCAGGTTCCCGCAGAACACCGTGGAAGGACCCCTGGGAAGAGCCTACCCTAACCCCAATGCCCAACTCCTACAGACAGACTCCACCTTGACGCCCTTCTCAGGCCACAACCCTCTGGGCCCTTCCAGGCTGGGCTTGCTCTGGGCTTCCTGACAACAGCTGCCTGCCCACCCATCGCCTGGGTGGGCCTCTCTGGGCAGGCGGATATAGGGGCAGGAAGTCCCCACCCCCTGCTGACCCCCAGGCCAGTCAGAGATGCCAGCCCACAGGCTGGCCTCACCCACTCTGTGCAGGCAATTTGTTGTGTCTCACAACTGGACCATACAGCTGGAGCTGCAGCCTGATGACCAGCTGAGGGGCCCAGCAGTGGGGTTCAGGGGGCCAGGCCTAGGCCAGCCCTTTTCAGCTTTGCAGACTGCAGCCACTGTTGGCCATCCCAGCGTGGGGCCGCATTCTTGGGCTTATAAGGCAATCCCCCTGCTACAGGGAGGAGCCAGCCTCCAGCTCCACCCCCACCAGGGCAGGCTCTTGGAAGCTGAAGTTAAGCCCCTAGAGAGGAGCCCTGTCCTGCACTTCTGCTTGGGGTCAAAGGCCACCACATCCTGAATGGGAATGGTGGATGCAGGTCCTTACATAGGCTGGGGAGAGACCCCTTCTACCCACAAAAAATGCACACCATCCCGTGCTTCAATTCCAATCCCTGCTTCAACATGGACTCGATGAGCGAGCCCCTCCACCTCTTCATGAGTTCTTCTCTCATCTGGAAAACAGGATGAGGACTGCTATTCCCTGGGCAGAAGTGTGTCTGAAGTGAAATCCTGCAGTCACAGTGCCCTGCCTGGGGCCTGGCTCCAAGCATTGCCACCTCAAGTTTAGATACCTCCTGGAAACGTCAGGCTCCCATCCTGCACAATGATCCTCCCTCCCGCCCTCAGAAGTGGCCACAGGAGCTTGGGAGAACAGCATCGGGTACAGTGCAGGACTGGGGAAGCCTGGGTGCTCCCTCCCAGTATCCACCTCATTGGGAGTCATTGCAGCGGGCAGGTACCTCTACATCTCGGACCTGGACATCTCCTGGCCTGCTGGCCCCGACCAGCTCCTGTTAGGACTCCCCCCATCACCCTCTGGAGACCTGAGCACCCAAAGACCGCTGGGGGAGCCCCCTCCCCAAACCTAGGCTCACCCGGGAAATGGAGAGGGGCACATTGAAGTCCTTGCCCCCTTGCAGCCGGAAGCCCCAAGGTGCTGGCCCCTCCAGCACTACCTTGAAGGAATCCATGATGCCGGCTCCTGAGAGGAGAGGAGAGAAGAGGTGAGTGGCCAGCATGGTGGGCGGGCAGGCAGGCAGGCCGGCCCAACTCAAGATACCAGGCTTGGACAGGGGCCAGGCAGGCACGGGCAGCCCCTGAGCACACGCAAGCCATAGTAGGCAGGTATTTTGTCAGGCTGGGCTGGGCTGCTGGCGGACCTCACTTTGGAAAGACAGGAACAGCCTCCCTCCCCTTGGGACTGGAACTGTGAGGGGTGCCTGAATCCAGGGTGGAGGTTCTTTTCAACCAGGGGTGGGCCGAGGGACTAAACTGGCGCGGCCTCCCCGCAAGCCAGCCTGGAGCCTCGGGCGGCCGGGTGAGTCAGGGGCCGGCTCTCCTCTCCCCCGCCCCCAGGTCCCGGCAGGCAGGCCGCGGCTGGAGCCTGCTCGGACTATATAAGGCGTGTAAGCTGACACTGTGCGGAGAGCCAGCGCAGGGAGCACACGGGGGCTTGGGACACGAGGGGGAGGGGAGGGAGGCGGCTGCAGCGGATCCTCCCAGCCATTCCGGGACCAGTCGAGGCTGCTGGGAGCCAGGGCGGGACCCCTGGGTGCTGAAGAAGGGGAAGGCGGGAGTGGGGTGCGGCCCCTGTGGAGACAGGTGGGGGCTGGGACCCTAAAGCATAGCTTGGAAGGGGATCCTTCCCGGAGCCCAATGGGGATGGTGCCTCCCACACAGAACTGCTCCCACACCGACGTGACTCAGTTTCCCCCTAGTCCCCCGTCCGGGCCCCATGCATTAGACTGGCCCCGGCCGCAGGAAGCAGCGCAGGCGCCAATCGGCCCCGCCGCAGCCG